TATAATATTTTTCGATAACATGAAAGGGATGTTACTGAACTAAATCCCTAATCTTAATCCCTAACATTTTTAAACCCCAACTAAAACGGAGGGGTATGATATGTTTGTAGTGTGTATCTGCTATCTGTGTATCTATGTGTCTGTCTGTGGCATCATAGCTCCGGAACGGATGAATCGATTTTGATTATTTTTTTTTTGAAAGGTGCCTTAATCGACTTTTCTTAGCTGTGCTTTTTAAGAAAATCTGTTCAGCCGTTGCAAGATCATCAGCTCTTTTGTTTTGGGGGTTTCAATTTTTTTTTTTAATTTTAGTTATATTAAGATCGTATATCTCGTAATAATAAGCAAAAACATTACAAAAAAATTAAGTTTCTGTCCACCGAATGTCGCACGCTTGCTTCGTGCGGGACAGTTATACATGAAGCGAAGAAGGGAGCGCTAAAAGCCTTTTAACATAGGAAATCCACATAATCTTGACCTACTTTTGCGGCAGTTGAAGTTGAATTAATTCTTGCACATTAGAGAATTACAAAGATACTACATAAAGATACTTTACTATAATTGAAACGCCTTTCTGACAACAGCATGTACTTATTTTATTAATTTTGTTACGTACAGAGTAAAAAAGTTTTATTTTTTTATTTTTGTAGAAATTCCTATTAATACTTGTGACAAAATTATCAATATTTAATACGCACAATTGTTGTTAAAATTGTAATATGTGTGATTAATAATGCTTTCTATTAGTTTGGGGCATCATCATACAACGTATTGTAAATTTCCTTTTTAAAAAATGCATTATTTTATTAATTAATCACTAAACTTCCATAGTTAAAAGCATGAAACAAAGGATTTTCAATAACATATCAAACATCGTAAATTAAATAATTTAAAATTACAAAAAAAAATGTATGGTTCCCTTAAGGTACCTTCCCTTTACTTACCTGGTATTATCCAAAACAGACAGTTTGTATTTTTCGACGATCTACCACTGGCGGAATTGAAGCGAAGAGCGACAGAGAATCAAATGATGGCTAAAAATGGACTGTTGGGAGATGCTGGAATCTGCAGGGATGTCAAATCCCCCGCGCATGCGATTTTGGAATCGGGGTTAAGGTACATTTTCTTTACGACGACCGTGAATAATATTAAAAAATAATGCAATGCATCAATAAAATCGGTTGAGTTGAGCTAATATAATATATCGCTTAGTAACGGATCCATGCGGACGACGTCACGGGATATCCATTTGTTGTATACCAAAACCTTCACCAGAATGTAACAAATATGAAAAAAAAAACATTTGTAACTTTCTTTTATCAAGCGATTTCTGGTAGTCGGTAAATAAATTTCGCGCCGAAATAGCTCAGATGATGACGTTGCCTCTCATAGTTGGTCTGTACATGAGCAAACCGAATTTGACCCTCGCCGTTGCCGGCGATTAAGTAGCCACATATCTTTCATAGAATGTTAAAGCCATGTTCCACATACTGGTGTGGTTGCAGCACCAGATATTTGCAATCAGATTTTTACCTGCTTGCCCCGTGGTACCTTTTTTATTCTTCGAAGAGGGGCGAAGGGGGTTATGTTGCGAAGACGTTTTTAATTTAAATTGGTCTATTTTTTTTAAAATATAAAATAAAAGTTTTTAAGTTGTTATTAAAATTATTATTATTTATCTCTTAATTAAGAGTTACGATTAAAGTGTGGTAAATAGCCTTATAACACATCAAACCGTTCTTTGTTTCTACCGTAGGCGATTTAAACAAGGCAAGCAGTCGCACTAAATAAAATATCCCTTAACCCTTAAATTATATTCAATACAAATCCAATGTTAAAGTGAAATAATATTGCACAGCTACGGACAGTTCAAGGATTCTTGTCACGATTTGAGGCAAATATTATAATTTTGAAAGCCTAATTATATCTCTCATCGTTTTAATTATTTCTTAGAACGATGGGACTGCTTTGACTTTGAAGAATTGTTAATATGATTGCATGCAGTCATCTACTACCCACTTTTACCGACACTAAAAACAATATTATTCGGCTGCTGTTGCCATAAAAAATTGAATTGTAAAAATTGCTACATCACTAAAAACTTCGATAGAAGTTATGTGTTGGCACTTCTTGCCGCTGCCGCTTCTATGCGGGCTGCCGGAAGGCCGTATGAAATTTCCTCTCAATCTAAGATTTAAGTGGTTCCTATATTCTAATTGAATTATTCAAAGTGCGCCTACGTCTCCCACATTACTTATTGAAATTAAATAAGGTCATATTGTTATACAAATTTATTAATTATGTGATTACTTACAGCGTAAGAGAAACCATTACTTTAGAAGGTAAAATTTTTCTCAAGAGCATGTCAATTAACTTCTTGACATAGGCTACTAACGTGGGAATTTTTCTCACAATCACCACGTTTGACAGACAAATGCTCCGTGCTGACTAACAAACGAGGCTATGGCAATCGACTGATGAGGAAAACCCTATTAAAGTTAAAGAATCCGAATACTTACTAAAGAGCTAAAGACAAGTTAATGGGCGAAAACTTAAAAACCTACGGACATAGCATCAACAACTTCGAGTATAGTGTAAGGCCGGCTCCACTTTTAATCGTTTTTACGTATTGTGTGTTCGCTAGAGTGGACGCAAAATTATACACGATCATGTGATATGTCGTTGTGATTCCGTATCTGAAACGTACCGTTCCGCACTAAACCTCTTTTCTGATACACCTCATGTCGGATACACGTATTGTGAACGTTTTTTTTTCATACTATATCACTATGATGTGATACGATGAAACTTAATACGCCGCTACCCATTTCTGGTTGTATATTTTAGATCATCAAAGGGCACTACAAGCGTTATGTTTCTGTGACCGCTGATCATGTGATCTGGATTCATAATTCAAATCCCGACCCGGGATTTAAATTACGAATTTTGAAGCGCTTTTATGACGTGATACCATATCACTGATCGAGACACGTCAAGATGATCAAATCTGGACCCCGCCTTAATGTCCCGAACAATTACCGATGTGACATGAACGTTGGACATGACCTTCGCATTATCCATGTTCATCTTAATTCTGAGCTGTAATGCCAATTCGCTGTAGATATTTTTAAAATATTTGAATATATTTCGCCCAAATTTTAAATTATTTTTGATACTCGTAAGGTAAAGATTTTGCAAGATGCATTATTTATAACAACAACGCTACTTGTAATTAACATCCTATTTTTTTTGTTCATAACCAAATTATAATAAATAGCAGCTCAATGCTGATGTGTTTCGTATGTTGAGTGTAGAGAACTTGAGACCCTTTTTCCTGGAAACGAGGCATTCCATCTTAATCCTCAGGGTAGGTAACATGTCTGCATTTTGATTCTTAATCGAGGATAGATGTAGATGTCTATTGGCCACAGCAACCAATAAAAAGATATATAAATTTACTAGATGGTAGAACATTTTTTCTGCCTAAAAGGCCTTCTACACGGTCGGAACCAACCACCAACCGTCGTGACCTTGGTCGAATCAAACGATTTTTGTATTCGTTCTACACGGTCGGGTGCATAGATAATATACTATATAGGGTAGGCTTGTCAGTTCTCTCCGGTATTCAAAGCGTAAAGACGTAAGGTAGTTACTTTTAAATATGGCTCCTTGCTTTTCTAAACAACAAAAATTGTTTTCTTTTTTTAATTATAAAATCGTTATCCCCACACTACGATTTTCTCCTGTATTGTGGAGGCAGTTCACATACATAGATTGTACGAGGACAAACATCCCCACCCGGAACAATTATTTGTAGGCCATAAAAACACATGTTCCGTGCGGGATTCGAACCCGCGGCCCCCAGCGCATCAACTCATTGTTAAGGCACTGCGTCACGGAGCCGTCAAAGGTTTAGCGTTAACGTTTCTGTGCTTGAGCGAAGAAGAAAAAAAAAGAAAATGGATGAAATTGTCGCTGAAAGAGCGCATTACTTTAAACCATCTCAATAATTTAAGGATTCTTGATTCTGAAGACTTTCGGAATTTTCTTAGAATGGATCAAGATACTGTTAATGAATTACTTGAGATGGTGCGTCCAATGATTACAAAAAAAAATACAGTTATGCGTCAAGCCGTGTCTGCTGAAGAACGATTAATAGCTACATTAAGATTTATGGCTATGGGAAGAAGTTATAAAGGTCTGAGATTTAGTACAGTTACATCATTTCCATAGTGCCGTTCTTCCGCGACGACTGCCAATGCCAAGCGTGCACTGAGCACAATAAATGTACCCTGAGGTGCCTGCCGCCTGGCGCTCTCGTCTACTCTTCGGCTGACAGCTTTCCACACGGTCGGCGTCAACCACGGACCCGACGTGTCGTGAGTGATGCCCTCGCGACCAAGGCCGTCTGACATCAACCAAAATATTGATCAGACAACCGATGTCTACACTGTGCATTTTTATATCAACTCGACTAAGGTCATGACGGTTGGTGGTTGGTCCCGACCGTGTAGAAGGCCTTTATAAATGTCCACCTGGGTAGGTACTATCCTCTTACGTATTCCGATCTTAAGGCTATACAAAGCCTGTATGACTATAGACTGATAGGCCTTCCATCTCAGTCCTCATTTGTGACGACAGCACATCTGAAGCCTTCTTGTGTGTCCATGCACTGCAGTAACCAGTTACAATCAGGAGAGTAATTGTTAGTTCGGTTGTCGTCAATTTTATTTAAAAAAAAGACAATTTATTCAGTCTGCGGTCAGCCTTATTGTGCTTGTGCGTCATTCTCCACACATATCGTTCATTCGTTCACTTTCCATACGAATTACGAACGCATGCGCTCGCCGCTCGATAAGCACCGGATCCCCAGCAAATAACACGATCACGCCACCGTCTTTCATTCATTTGTCAATTTCATTTCATCTCATTCCAGTGTCGGCAGGCATAGAGTTTAGACGCCTTTTATTTAATCGTACTAACTCTAACTTTCAGAAAAAATGGAGTTCATCGGCAAGAAATACAAGATGGTCTCTTCAGAAAACTTCGACGATTTCATGAAGGCTATCGGTAAGTTATTTTTAAATGTACTTTTAACAATTTACAAGTATTTAATGAGAAGAAATCAATGCGCGCCGGCTTTAGTTCGTCGACCACGCCATAGCAATTTTTTCCTTCTTACCCGCTATTTTTCTTTTAATTTCTATAAATTTAATACTTTATGGTGTTTTAAAATATCGTGAATTATTAAAATATTTTAGTTATTTTATTAACATGTTTTTAAAATATTATAGTAAATACCACTACACCAGCCGCAACGATTTGATTTAGCATTTTTAATGCATTGCATTAAAAAAACATACCATATTATTTAAATTTTACAATTACTTAACTGCATTAATATCCCGCTACAAACAACTCTCAATGGACTATGCCCCTTGTTAAAAATAAAAAACAGAAACCGGCTCGTGGCACCGCGGCATGTTCTTCAAATGTTACGCATGAAAACGCTATGAAAAAATTACTATTGACAATTACAATTTAATATGAACTTTGTACCGGCTGCGTGTAAATTTTAATCTTTATTCTTTTTTTAAGTAGTGTAAGTATGTTAGTGCTCTTATTTAGTACCTATGTGGCACAAGTCTTAAGGCTGAACAGATTAACAGACTAAACATTTTTTTAAATTTTCTGCTATTCATCGGCATCGATGCTTGTTACATCAATTTGGCGGGTACCTATACCTTGCTACCGAGATTTTTAACGGGTTCTAAATCCGATTCTCAGACAGGATAAATTACTACTGTTTTTTTTTTATATATAGAATAGGGTGACAAATGAGCCACAGTCGACCTGATGGTAAGTGTATGCTGTGGTCCATAGACATATACATCCATCCTCAATTAAAAATCAAAATACAGGTGCGTTGTCACACTTGAGGACTAAGATAAATAAGAGAGAGCGTGGTCCTACCCCGGTCGAGCCGACAAATTTGTGCTGCAACTATAGTATAGCTGGAACGTGGCTCTACCACGTACTGTGCTTCTGGATGTACCAGTTGGCAAAAAAGAGATTAAATAAATATTAAATCGTAGCCGTACTAAGCACCCTAAACTAGATTATGCCTGATGTAATGCTTGTACTAAGATTGGAGATAGGATTGGATGACAGTGTTAAATTCATCACACATCCAGACTAAAAAAATTAGCTCCGAGAAAGCTAGAAACTAGAATGAGCGAAGCATTATTTGACCAGTGAACTATGTCGAATGTCGATGATCGATATAGCGCTGTTTTCATAATAATTTCTTATATTTACGCGGATACAGCGCAGAATAATACAGTTTTATCGGATTTTATCATGTTTAAAAAAAACGCGGTGAAATCCATTATTTCCACCTACCTCACATACTTAACCACATAACTAAAATATTTTGAAGTACCGACGTATAAAAAAAGTTTTTACTGGTTTTACTTGGTACCGGTTAGCTGCCTTGCACTGTTTAGAACGACTGTTATCTTTAAAGAAGAACCAAAACTCTGATTTTGGGGCTATTATGTGGAATTTTTTTTAGTCTGCTTGTACTTTTTTTTAAGTTTAATTTTTTGACCCTTTTTTTAGTTTGACCCTAAAGATAAGTTTACCTTTTCACGATTTTAGAAAATCAACTTGGCTCACCCCGTCGGTAATGTATTGTGATTTGTGACCCATGCACATGTAGGGTATCCGAGCGATATGCCACTATGTTGTTTGCGGGTAAGTTTGTGGCACTATAATTTTCTCCTGCACAGTTAATATGTAGTTTCCGCATGAGGTTTGCCCTTATTAGAAAGCCGTCTTAATATCTATGGTTATTGATAAAAGAATAAAATAATACAAAAACTAATAAATTTTATAAATTTAGTCTATTTAAAAAGAGTAAAGAAAAAACAGGATTTTTAAGTTCCACATATCTGTCCGTTCGTATTGATCCGAGGTCAACAGAATTTTCCAGATTCGAAGGATTAGCAAATTGATTTTATAGAATTTGAAGTAAAATTTAATATAGACAATATCCGGACAGGGCTTAGTCCTCTTTCGTTTTTTTTTGTAAATTAATTATTTTGATATTCTGGATAAAGATTTCGCCTTATTTTCATAATTATAATCAGTCCGAACTGCAGTTGTCTCCCTCGTTTGTATAGATAAGACATCCTCTTTTATTAGGTAATATTGATTTCTTTGGTTACTTTGAATCCAGGTGTAAAATGTGAAGTTTGTTTACCCTAAAATAATTATTGTTAAATATATATAACCTATGTGAACATAGCCCAAAAAGGTAATGTCCAATCTATAAAAAAAAAGTTCTGAGGTACCTACTTCTTTTTGCTGCTTTTGTTCATCAGCATTTTCCAGTTCTCTGCTGAAAGTAGGTCCTTTCTAGAATGCGCCAGAAACATGCAATTATTAGAAGAAAGATAAGTAGGGACTGTAAAACCGTGACCTGATATTCGTGGTAGGCGATGCTGCAGTTTTATATTTTATGGTTGTAGGTTGTAGCACGAATGGTTCAGCTCGACGTGGAAGGACCACGCCTTCACAGAATACTGTCACTTAAAATTGTAACTAAAAATTATAATTTTTTTGGTGGAAATCGAAGTCTGAGGGTATTTTTTTTTATTTTTTTTTAAATTATATAGGTATGAATTGAATGATATTTTACTACAAAAAATGTGTAATTTGGGGTGAGCGCTTTACCCCCGAGTTACACCGGCTCATTTTCATCTTTTTGTTATCTAAACAATAATGCATAAGTGTATAGGTGTGCATGAATTGTGTGCATCCAAACCCAAACACTATGTCTGTATCAAATCGCAGACATATAGTATTTCTTCACTTGTGTAGACAAAACTAAGGTGATTGGTATCTCTGGACGTCCGTACCTTTTCGAAGAAAATAAACAAAACAACACCCAAACTCTATTCAGTTGTACGTGTTTTGGGTTTCCCTGGTATACTTGCAGCATACTTTTTCGTTTTGCCCGTCTTTCCTAATATAATAGTCTTAAAAACTTGTAGAATTTATGCCCAATACAGACTATATAGATAAAAACTTCTTTAATATAATGCCACTAAATATATTTAAAGTTTTTGCTGAAAAGAAACACGCGGCAAATTTTTACGTCTATGCTTTTAGTACTTACTAGCTGATACCCGCGACTTCATCCGCGTTGCTTACACACATCACTGAACACGTAGTGCTTATTATTTTTCATAAAACTCTAATAGCTTTATATTAAATTAAGATCGCAATATTTTTTTCTAAGGTTAAAGGGTCTAAGAAATAAAACTTTGAAATGTACCTATCCAGTAATTTTTCCGTGATGCGCGCACAGCTGCAAACCGCTATCATTTTGTTTATATAGATTATTTCACCAGATATAAGTTTATCTGTACTAGATGCGACAATGTGTGCCCGCTACTCGTTTAAAAAATAGCGTGTTATTCATTACGAGATAACCGGGCAGTCTTATCTAACCTGTCTATAAAATAAAATGTGGATCTCATTATTCACCATACAAGATCATCCATTCTATAAGCCTCACCACAGATTGATTAGTTTGCAATTATTTTGCAACATAAGGGGATTTTGCCACGTTACCACGCTTGGCTGGCAGATTAGCAATAGCAGTTTTTTTTGTAGGCTTCATAAATAAAATAGTATACTTATTTATTTAATTAGAACAAATTAATACTTATATGTTATGTTATTGTATTAAAATAAATGACTTTCAGAACTGATAATTTATTCAGTACCTAACATAAATGGGTTTGATAATGTTCCATTACTAGTTAATTGACCCTATTTAAATTAATCTATAAATAATAACTTTTGCATTAATTCTTATTTACTTTAGTTTAATACAATATTTTTCGTTTAAAATAATTATTAGTGTTTTCATATTAATTATTTCTTAAGATTTCATAGCAAAGCTACTCTGTTTACGTTGTATGTGCACTAATCCCAAAAATAAGTAGAAATGTACTAATCCTAATGATTAATCATGCATAATGTAATTATTTAATGTAATTAATCGATATATTGACGATGGACCAAATTAAGAGGACCCTGTACCTTTGACTGATGAGTATGGATGTGAAAAGCGAGAGAGGTGTTTTTTATAGAAGGGTGAAAAACGAGCAAACAGTCCACCTGATGGTGTTTGCTGTGCCATAGACATCTACATTATCCTCGTTTGCGAATTTATTTATTGATTTTAAAGGACATCCTACAGTTACAATATATACTATTTATTGTTTTCTATCTTTGAATTACACATTATGCTTATTGAACTACAGATTACAGGTTGTCACAACATGCTTAAATTTAATGAAAAAAAAAAGTACAAAAATTAAAGATATTAAAGAAAAGGGCCAATATATATAACATAAATAAATAAAATACATAACAGAATCAAAAAGAAAATGCGTTGTCACCCGTGAGGACTAACGTGGAATGCCTCTTTTCCAGTAAAAAGGGTCTTCAGTTCTCTACACTCACCATACGAAACACAACATCATTAAAACTGCTATTTTACGCTAGTATTCTGTGAGAGAGTGGTCTTTCCCCGGTCGACCCGACCTGTAAGGCTGTATGATGGAAGAGAGAATAATTGGGTACTTATTTGCCATATGGGCTTATTTTCTGCCTAGGAACCCATTTGGGTAGGTACGTTATTTCTGCTGACAGTAAGGCACACATTGCAGTGATCCGGAGTTGGTAATCAGGGTCGACAAAATCATATCTTTACCTATAGGTGTGATAGAACAACTGAGGATTCTTTATTTAAATTTAGCGGCAGCCGGCATGGGCTGCAGAAGTAATTTTAATTAGTCTTTGTTATGTACGCTTAAGGTATTAAAAAAATAATGCTCATAATAGGTCTGTCCTGTACAATTATTTATTCCTTTTTAAAAAACGTCACCTCTACAATATTTTCTCCTTGGCAGGGGGCAGTTTACATACATAAATTTCACAAGGACAAACATCCAGGCCCGGACCAATTATTTGTAGGCCATTCACATACTTGT